ATGCAGAATAAGCCTTTCAAAGACGGGGTTGCTAATGTTCTTTGGCTTCTCTAGGACTTGATGGCCTCTCAGAGCGCTGTGCCCAGTACAAAAAGGACGGCTGTGACTTTGCCAAGTGGAGGTGTGTGCTCAAGATCTCAGATGGCTGCCCATCAGCTCTTGCCATTGCAGAGAACGCCAATGTCCTCGCCAGATATGCCAGTATCTGCCAACAGGTGCGTGTATAGCAAATTGCTCTACATAAAAGGCTGACAAATTGGGTAAATTCTAGTCATTCATTTGAACTTGTATTCACCAGAATGGCCTTGTGCCCATTGTGGAGCCAGAGATCCTGCCTGATGGAGACCATGACCTTCAGCGTTGCCAGTACGCCACAGAAAAGGTAAGCAAGACCACCAGCAGCAAAGGATATTCCCAGTACATAAGATGGGAAGGGTGTCTAGTAATAAATCTGCCGGGTCATCTTTAGGTCCTGGCTGCAGTGTACAAGGCTCTGTCTGACCACCATGTGTACCTGGAGGGCACTCTGCTGAAGCCCAACATGGTCACTGCTGGACACTCCTGCACTAAGAAGTACACCCCTCAGGAAGTTGCCATGGCTACAGTGACTGCTCTGAGGCGGACCGTGCCTGCCTCAGTGCCTGGTAAGTGGCATGAGGACAGCTTTTACATTACAGTTAAGGAAGGTGCAGAGCAGTTCATTTGATTATGAGTATGACACTATTTTTCTGTTTCTTTAAAGGCATCTGCTTCCTGTCCGGAGGGCAGAGTGAAGAGGAGGCCTCCGTCAACCTGAACGCCATCAATCAGGTGCCTCTGCACCGTCCCTGGAAGCTGACCTTCTCTTACGGTCGTGCACTCCAGGCTTCTGCTCTTGCTGCCTGGAAGGGCAAAGCTGAAAACAAGGCAGCCACACAGCAAACTTTCATCACCAGAGCCAAGGTCAATGAGTAGTACTGATCCTCAGTAGATACTATTAACGAGTGTTATCAAGTTGCTGAGGACTGTTTACTGAACTGGCTGTCAAATAATGCTTATCTTGCATTGCCCAACTTTACACTGTCTAGTAAATGATTGTTGTTGGTTCCCCCCCCCCGTTCTATTTTGGTCTTACGCTAATGTGACACAAGTAACTTGGCTGATAATTAACTTTCCAATTTGACTTTGTCCTGTCTTTTTTTCCTCCCCCTCTGCTCTTCCCCTCAGATCAATGGCCTGGCTTCCAAAGGAGAGTACAAGCCCACCGGTGCAGCTGGCCAGGCCTCCACACAGTCTCTGTACACTGCCAGCTATGTATATTAAATACTGTGACAATAACCCAAGAAAAACAAATCAAGAATTGCACATGGACCAAATATAACTACAAGAAAATCTCCTTCTGGGTGCCCATCCTCCCTGCATTACCAACACCAGGGGGAGACTTCTGTCAAAATGTTCAACTACTGTTTGTCTACTTAATGAAATCTCCCGAAATAAAAGACCAAAATGTTTTTGATATCAGTGTCTTCATGAGTTGTATCCACCACTGATGGAGTAAATTCCTTGCACATATATATATATATTAGAAAACCTACTCCTGTTTCTTAATACATAAAGTTTAATGTGCTACTACAGAAAACACTGGGGCACCTGAGATGTTGATTGGGGATAAAATCAAAGGTTTAAACATTTAAGTGCAGAATACAAAGCAAAGTTTAGTGATAGTCAAAGACAAATAAGACACTGTTAACAATGCAGATACAATTAGATGCAAAATCTTGGACATCTCTGAAAAGATGACACGTATAATAGATTTTCAAAATGACCAAAGGTCTGATGAAGATATTAACAATAAAGTGTTTTTAACAAGTATGTTTTTTTTTTTTTTAATTAATTAATTTTTAATTTTTTTTAAAAACCAAACTTTTATAGTTTATACCCATCCCAGGTACCGTCCTGAATTTTGGCATTTACAGCCAAGTTGTGTGACTAACAAATGCTAGGTAGCCTAGATGTTGTCCAACATATACGGTATGACATCTGGCCTTGTTCAACACATTCAGTCGATGTGTACGGTTGCCAGACAGATTGCTTATCTTCCTGAAAAAGTTCTTCTAAGATAGTTTTTTTTTTCCCCTCACAGATTCCACAGGTAAGAAACTAGTGAGCAAATAATCACATTTGACTTTTGCTATTTGACTTTTAACCCACAGTAGATTTTCACTTATTGTGGCTTAATATATGAAAACTTGTTTCCACCACTGGGAAGGGAAAAAAAGCCGTGGATATGACAACCCATTCATCCATTCTCTTCCACTTATCATTTTCAGGGTCACCAGGTCGCTGGAGCCTATCCCAGCTACTATAAGGCGAGAGGCAGCATAAACCCTGGACAGGTCGCTAGTCTGTCACAGGGCTAACACACAGAGACAAACAACCAATCACACTCAGGTTCACACTCACATTTACACGCATGGGCATTTTAGAATGACCAATTAACCTAACCTCACTAACTGCATGTCTTTGGACTGTGGGAGGAAGCCAGAGTACCCAGAGAGAACCCACACAAAGACAGGGAGAACATGCACTCCCCACAGGGAAAGGCTCCGACCAGGTGGTAGAATCTTGCTGTGAGGCAACAGTGCACAGCGCCACCGTGCCGCCCTGATAATACCCTGATAACAACTGGACGTAATGTTGATATGTCAACATTATTATTATCTCAAGTGAGTTACATTGCTTAAAAAATGTATTCGACCACCTCACAATGTAATGTTTATCCCACAGCTTTACTAAATGAAAATTAGTGGTAATTACCAAAGATATTTTTTTATGTTTCTGTAGTGGTTAATCCATCAGTACACACACTCCTTAACTAGAGTTATATTTTTAATGTTAAAATACAATTATTGTTGTTATCCAAACCAAATTAGAATGTTTAAATTTACTGTTTTACAAAAACTGAAAAAATAGTAAAATGCATTATTATTATTCTTACTATTATTTTAATAAAGTGCCAAATTACAGCAAAAACAAGGGTTTCAGTGGTCAAATGTTATACTTGAAAATAACTTGAAATTTCAAGGTATCTTTTATCTCATAGTTCATTTTATTTAAGTCATAAAACTTTATTTTTTGATGAAGGCTAAGATTCATACGGTAGATGAAAGTTGAATAGCCCATGGACCAGTGGCCTTATTCAATAAGAATATTCTGTATGATGCAACTTCACAGTTAATGCTTATTTTAATATTTAATATTAATTAATTAATTAAGTTCTAGATTCATCACTTGACTTTTAGTAATAATTAATTCTTTCAATTTCTTTGGAGGTAGTTTAGCATGACAATACTTACTCTACAATGTTAATTCAATTACAATTAACAAATGCTGAATTTGTGCAATGTAAGAAAGAATCAAAGATGGATACTTGTGGCAACTTTGTTTGAGTAACAATTGGCCATAAATTTAGCCAATGAATTTAATGCTTTTTAGCAGGAAAACCTCTGATGTTGAGGCTTCCTTGAACGCACCAGCCAAAATTGCACCATAACTATGCATAATTCTAAATGTTTTAGGTGCATCACTATTGATTAAATATCTGTTTCAAAGACGTTTTGTAGCCTTTAATTTGACTGCCATATAATTTAAATTAAATGTCTGAATAATAAGAAATGAATATAAAAAATTACAGTATTACTTTTTATTTAAAGGTTTTTTTCTTTTCTTTTTTTTTAAAGAGTCTTAAAGATTTTCCAAAATAGTGTATTTCCATACCAGCTCAAGTCCATCTTCTTTGTTTCCCTCAGTCACAGTTAAGCTAACATATCCACTCAAGTTTTTTTTGTTATCCTTTTAAGACAGTGTATGTCTATTTTATATTAAAACCTGCATTACAGAAAAGTTTCTGATGTAGACCAAATGTTAAGCTACATGAGTGCGTCTCAGTTTTGATGGGCGAACTGTTTATGTGTTGCTCAGTTCCTCTGGGGTGTCACAAAAAAGAGCAGCATCTTTGTAATGCAGTTTAAAAAAAAATGCAGATTACTCCTACTTTTAATGTCCAGTCGAGTCTAATCTTTATGTACAGCCTATTTCATACTTTATTAGGCACACTTGTTCAACTGCTCGGCAATACAAATATCTAATCAGACCATCACATAGCAAGAACTCAGTTCTTTAGACATGTAGACATGGTCAAGACAGCCTGCTGAAGTCCAAACTGAGCATCAAAATGAAAAAGAGAAAAAAACAGGATCCAGTTAGCTGCAGTTCTCTGGGTGAAAAATGTCTTACTGATGCCAGATGTCAGAGGAGAATGGCCAGACTCGTTTGAGCTGATGGGAAGGCCACAATACGTCAAATAGCCACCTGTGACAACCAAGGTATGCAAAAGAGCATCTCTGAACGCACAACACGTGAAACCTTGAAGCAGATGGCAATAAACAGCTGTAGCTAAAATTCACATGGGACAACAGAAAATTGTAAAACATCGACTGTTCTGATGAGTCTCAATTTCTGCTGCAACATTGGATGATAGGATGAGAATTTGGCATAAAACACATGACAAAAGTGATACATCCTGCCTTGTATGAGTAGTTCAGGCTGCCGCTGGTGCTGTAATAGTGTCAGGGATATTTATTTGGCACCCTTAATACCAACTGAATATTGTTTAAATGCCACAGTGCACCTGAGTTAATCTACTGTATGTTTGGGAAACTGAGCATCAGTATTTAGCAGACACATCTCTCTCGTTCTCTCGCCTCTTCAGCCGAAATTCCCCCAAGCTGTCGCCTTGTCGTCCGGCTTTGTGACGAACTTTGTTTAACCTCCACATTTGATGGCCACTGTGGAGGTTAAACAAACTATCTGACGTCATTAGCCGTTTCCGGGTCCAAACTCCCCTTCAGTTCCCAAACTCAAACACTGTGCCATCCCTGAGAGTTAAAAGCTATCTCTCTTACTAATCTTACTTAATTCGTCACACTGAGCTCCCTGACACATATAATCATATAGAGTACTGTGCAAAAGTATTGAGCCATCTCTCACTTCAAGTTTTGGTAGGAAAATGAGAGAGATGCAGCAATTTATTGAAATGTACAAACTCACATGAAAATATCATTTATAAGGCAAAAACAGAGTTTGTACAGCTCTAATCTACGCAAAGATTAACATAATGAAATGAGAATATTTATATTGGCTTAACAAAAGTTTATGTTTAAATCAGTACACAATTACTGCACAAAATATAAAAAGATTTTACGCAAACAGGAAAAACAGAGTTTATACCGAGGCTTCTTAGATCACAGTGCAGTACCTGCTCCCTCTGTAACCAGAGGTCAAAGCTAATAGTTTACTCATCCAGTTACAACATGTCATATTGTAAAATGTCTTCAGTTAAACATTCAGTACAGAGTACAAAGCACCGTTTAATGACAGTCAAACACTACTAATAAGACGCTAATAATAATGCAGATACAATTAGATGGAAAATTTTGGACGTCTCTGAAAAGATGACACGCATAACAGATTTTCTACATGGCTTCCAAATGACTAAAGGTCTGATGAGGAAGGAAATTTTCAGATATTAACAATAAAAAAGGAATTTCTAACAAGTATGTTTTAAAACAAATCAAAACTTTTATGGTTGGACTGAATTTTGACACTTGTCACAAACAAATGTTGCATAGCCCAGATGTTGTCCAACATATAGTGTATGACATCTGGCCGAGGTCAACACATTCAGTCGATGAGAAGAGATTTGCAGACGTGCAGCAGGGAAACGCAAGGGCTGCCAGACAGATTAGTCGTTATTGCCTTCCTGAAAAAGTTCTTCTAACATAGTTTTTCCTCACAGTGATGACATAAATGATTTTAGTTCAAGAACAAGTGTCGCAAGAGACCAACAAGTGTGTTTTAGTAAGGTCGTGTAATGTTTAATAATACTTTAAAAAGATGTCCTCAGTCCGATGGCGTTTCAGTCCTCGGTGGTGGAATTTGCTGGACGATGACCTGAAAAAACAAAACAAAACATGAAAGTGGAAGAAAAATAAAATGATGAGTGACCAAAGCTATTGAAAACTGTCCTTCCGCAGATATCCCTGGGATAAATCGGACTCTGTGGCATGTTTCTTTGAAGTAGACAGAAGGCTTGTATGTCAATAATAAAAAAATAAAATATGCTATTACCTGAGTGCGTGTGGATTTCAGTGCGAAACTTGCGACAGTGGTTAGAAAAATGAGAATCACTAACACTGAAATAGTGGAGATCAGTAAAATGGCTTCGATACTTTTCAGCAGCATCTACAGTGACAGAAAGTGAGAGTTATTGATATGCTGTGAAAACATGCATGTCATACAATCATAATCAAAAAATAGATATGTACTGTAACTCACCACACTTGCATTGTTCAAATGAAATTGCAAAAAAAAAAAGTAGGGATAAGAGATGACCTGGATCATCCTGTATATGAAAGAGATTACGATTCCAAAGATGGAAACCACATACAGGGCCAAGCACACAGTCACCTGGGAAAGATAAGTTAATCAAAATTAATTAGGCCACTGAATTAGGAAGGACTGTAGGAGTATAAACAAGGCTGAAAATCACAAATAGGAAATAAAACCATGACGTACCATCTTCTTGGACGGATGCAACTCAGTGTAGACTGACAGGATTCCACAGGTAAGAAACTAGTGAGCAAATAATCACAACAAATGATGCTGTTTGACCTTAACCGACAGTAGATTTAGTAATATGGGTGATATTTTCACAGTGTGAAGCTGTGTGAGTCTGTCTTCATACAATACATCTTTTGTAGGAAACTATGAATACTTGCTGATGTTTATTTGTCATCGGAAAGATCTAGTTAACACGTAGCATTGCAATTGTACCAGATGCATTTTTTAAACCTTTTGGTATTATGACTGTGTGTCATGCTTGTGCTGTTAACCTAACAAACTGATGGTTGTAGCCTCATATATAAAAGTATAGCACAGGCAGTACTTTGAACTTTTCTGAACAATAACTGCACAGAAGATATGACCAGTCAAGTTCAATCATTTTTAGCTGTCAGCATGTCAGTGCTAGCCAGTAAAATGCTACAGTAAGTACCAGAGCTCCCTGCCAAAAGGGAATGTAGAGTTGAGCAGAGATTTTGAACTCTTCATTGGAGAACTGATATCCCATTAACAACTCAGCACAGCCAAACATCAGAATGACAATCTGGAAAGGGGAAGAGGAAGAATGGATGAGAGTGTCTACAGCTGCATCAGCTTATAGCTATCCTCGTGCATAAATCTGCTTATTTAAGATTTTGCTTATCTGATGTGTTACCCCAAGACTTCTGGGCTCCTTTCGGACAAAGCGATGCAGAGGTTTGCTGGACATAGGCACATTGCTGCTAGTCCCCTGATCCCAATTTCTTTCTGTTGTCCCCTCCTCTCTAGTCGTTGTCTGAGTTCCCTCCATTTTCAGGAGACTACACACAGTGCTTGGCTGTGGGTCAAAAAGACTTAATTGAACTGGATGCTTCCCCACAGCAGCACAGATTGTTGGGGGCAGAATATCTGTGGAGTAGCAGAAAACATTTAAAAGCCAGATGAATGCAAGATTTTTCAAAAGTCTTAGAAAACGTGACTCACCCCGTCTTAGATCGTCATGCAGAAAAAGCAGAGTGAAAGATAACAGGAAGGGAATGTTGTGGGTGGAAAGAGGAAGTGTGGCAATTTGAGACTTCTTTTTTTATTAAGTGGTGGGGCTAAAGACTGTCTGGAAGTTACAGGCTTAGGCTGTTCCACAGTATAGTGAGTAAACCACTCAGTTAAAATGAAATCCCCATTAGGTCTGTGCACACTTACTGTATTATAAGTAGATCGGCATTATTGGCAGAGTTAGTGAAACTACTGACAACCTGGTATGTATTATTTTTGTGCAAAGCTAATTGAACCTCGTGCGTGTGACATTGCATCTAAACAGAAAAATTAGTTAAAGTTAAAGTGAGTTTCAGCAGGTAAGGGCTCAGTGTGGGGGAAAAGAATCACAGCTCACAATAATTTCTATTAAGATTTCCACAAGATTTCTATTCTCTACACTGACAGCTTACTGTTTATACTCACTTTATACTAGACGGCCGGTAACGGAGAGACTAAAGGTGGTTACGCCCTCTTGTAACAGAGAGGATGTATGTCAGCCCGTTCTCACGCCCGTTCTGACCTAACCTTATCCCGAACCTTAACCAGCACTTTAAAGAAGTTAGTGTTTTCCAAAGCGATTTAAGTAAAATAAACGCATATGTGTAGATTCATTCCAAACTGTTCTCATGTTTCTTAATTTTTCCGATCTCGTAATCTAGGGAAGTGTTTGGTGTTTGGGAGTGAGAACGTGTTGTGTATTCTATCAAAACACGGCAGAACAATGTGTCCTTCTAACTCATCTAAACAAGGCATTCTGTAAAGGGTATAACAAATATGGCAGTCTTTCATGAAACAACAACTGTAATCTCCACATTTCCAGTTTTTTCCTCAAAATAGTATTTTAACTTTTTCCCTCCTCAAAACAACATTATGTAACTTGATCTCCAAATTTTGATTTTATTCTCAATTTCAGCAATATATGTTTTGTATTAATTTGGCCCCAATGGTCCTTATTACCTCGTCTTGGATTTTCATGCAGCAAAAGCAGCGTGAAAGATAACGGGAAGGGATTATTGTGGGTAGAAAGAGAAAGAGACAGTTTTTTTCATTAAGGGGAGGAGCCAAAGACTTTGATTGGAAGTTACAGGCTGAAACTGTTCCACAGTGTGGTCAGTGAAAACTCCATGAGGTCTGTGCACACTGACTGTGTTATAAGTGTAAGCAGGTGTACATAAAAAAACAACAACAACTTTACCTACTTAAAGTCTTTAAGTGAGGCTTTTTTAAAAATTATTTACATTACGGATTCAGATTGCATTAATGTTTTCTTTTTTTTATCATTATTGAAATTACTTTCTAATTGGGCATATTTATCATCTCTACAAGTTTCAGCTTTAAACAGCAGTTTGAAGCAATCACAATGATCAACTTCTGATTATTTTTTTTTAACATACATACATATAGCAGTGCCACCACTTTGGGTCGGTCTGTGCTGCCCTCACTAATCATCAGCATCACATGTAAAAGTCCCAAGATTTTTTGTGATTAAATGTAACTAAATGTTTCTTAATAAAAATCAAACCAAACAGCAAATACTCCAAAAAAAGCAGCAGTCATATTTGTTGTAAGGAAGAGTTTTATTATGTCATAATTATTTAATCGTTACACAGGCATGATGACAAGGTCTTGTTGATAAAGACACATTATGTTTCTAATGTTATATGTTCCACCTTCAGTATCTTAACATCTCGAAATATGTCAAGCCATATCTGAATATAAATACAGTTTTATGCAAAAGTACTTCACCAGTACAAGTATTATAAAAATATTTAATATTTGCATAGATTAAAATTCCATGAGTAAAAACATACAAGACAGCAGTTTTATCACTAATTACTTCAAATGCACAAACAAGTTTGATATCTATCATATCAAAATGTAAACATGTTGTTATCCTCAGCTGGGCCCTCCTAACACAACAAGTCTTGTTGTTGATTCAAGGATCCGGCATATTGTCCACCTGCAAGACAGCAGCTCCCATCAGACATTTTTAACTAAAAACTACAAAAAAAATTCAACAGAGACAATAAGGCTGCATAACAATTACTGTTATATGCTGTTGGTAGGACAACAAGTGCTTCTCCAGGAGGTACGTCGACCTTTGTCTCATCTCTGCTGCACCATTGTACTGAAGGACCTCCAACAGTGAAAGCCCATCTTGCCTGACAAACTCCTCTGCCACCTGAAGAAGAAGAATACCACATCATGCCACAGCTTAGCAATCATTACAGAGTTTAGTTTCACTAATTACCACACTTACCACTGGACTGCTGACAGTCATCATGAACAGGATGTCCAGGCTCTGAATCACCATTTCCTGATCAGCCATTTTAAGCGTGGCACAGAGTGCAGACAGTAAACCAAGCTGCATGAGCTGCACACAGAACACCTTTTTCTTGTGGGCAATATTAGCCAGAATCCTGAGAATCTGAGTGTAACAAGCAAGAAAAACAAAAAACAACAAAAACACAAAATCAAAAAACACTTTTTTCATCCAAAAGGATGCAAGAGAAAACCACAAGATTTCTTATTATATGCCACAATGACTTAATATTACAAGAAGCACTTATATCAATCATAGTACTAACCATAGTATTAATGCCTTGAGAAAATGGGAGAAGTTGGATCAATCCTGGGACCAAGTTTAGAGTCAAGAGGGCGGAGCAGAATTCGGTGGAGTGAGCTGGGATGGAGAGAGGTAGAAAACACAATGGGGCACGTTACACACACTACAGAAAACCCTGATAATTATGATGCATCAAATCTCAGATGTGCACAGAGAATGCACAAGGCAGCCACAAGCATTTTATTCAGTATTTGAATAGATTGAATAGTTACACCAAAAAAAAAAATGCAATGTTTTCTTGCACAAATCTATACTGAACTGCAGCAAAGCAGGAAAAATATATTGCAAAACGGTTCTATTAGTAATGATGAGGTGTACTTCTGTATGGCTGCAGTCCCATTCAGAGACGACTAAAACAAGAGAGCCGTACCTGTGAGGTTGTTAAGGACCCAGACGGTCTCTCTGGCCAAGGCTGGCAGGGTGTGCAGGTAGGCTTGAACAAGTCCACACAGAGAAGCTGGCAGATGAGCATCAGTCAGTTGAGCATTCAGGTCTTCCTCCGGGCAGGAGGACAAGATGTTTCCCACACACCTCAACAGAGGCCAGATGAGCTGAAGAAGACACATTAAAAGCTTCTGTGATCCAAGTCAGATTAAAAACTAAAGTTGTTATTAGAGATGGACCGATCCGATATTACGTATCGGTATCGGTCCGATACTGACCTAAATTACTGGATCGGATATCGGAGAAAAATAAAAAATGTAATCCGATCCATTAAATATCACGAAAGCACCTCACAAAACTTGCAACACGCCGTAACTCACCTCAGAACGTTAGCACGTCGGAGCAGTATACATCACGTGATAGAGCGGCTGTGGCATGCGGGACCTGTCGGTGGTCTGGATAGCATTTGGAGCTTCGCTAGCAACCCGGCATTTCATCTCCGACAAAGTTATCCCGAGAGAAGTAAAGCAAGTGTGTAAGTCCATCTCTGAATGTTTGTAAAGTATTCCTGCGTTAAGCTTTACAAGCGATATATGGAGCGACTGCCTCTTCTTGCTGCTACTTCAATCATGAAACTGCTTAAATCAGCTGATCGGCTTTTCTGTCGCGAGTCCGTGTCTCTTGTTTGCTTTTGGCCCAGTTTGCACCAGAAAGAGGAAACCAGTGGATAAACAACAGCAGCACGTTTAAGCTTGATCAGCTGTTGTTAGAATGTATTTAATATTACTTTCTACATCAGGATCTTTTTCTACGCAGCTGACGGCTGGTAACTGTGCAGGGGCGGATCTAGCAAAGTTTAGACAGGGGGGCCGATAGGGCATTAACAGGGAAAAGGGGGCACAAAGACATACTTTTCTTTCTTATTCTCATTTAAAATGTCTAGCTTTTAATAAATAATTATCTGACACCCAAAGTTTAAATTTGATGCAAAATGAATAGAAGTCAATTACTTCTATTCATTTAGTCTATTACTTCTAGACTTAATAGTAACTATTAAGTCTAATATATATACCCTAGTAAGCTATAGTACTTTTTCCTTTGGGAAGGTACCATCTGTGCAGTCTGCAATTTTGTTGAAGAAAGATGTTGAATCTATTTAATATTTCTTGAAAAAGAATTGATTTCTGTGCATTTTTTTTCACACTGCATCAAATTAAGGTTGATTACGTCGATTAAGCATCATGAGGTGGAGCGTGAGGGGTGGTTCCCTATTTTTTATTTATTTATTTTTGTTGTTGCTGGGAGTTGGAACCCTATTAGTTAGGTTGCTTAATATTTATGCTAAGTACTCTTTAAAATACCAGAATAGGGAGGATGGTGTAGGTTTAAGTTTATTAGATTGATCAGTATTGCTGAACTATGAAATATTTTTTTTTGCATGCAGGTATAACAGAATAGCTTTAGTGTAGTTGTTGTTTTAAACTTGAGTATGAACTTATACAAAATGCAGCAAGATATTTAAAAACAGTTTTGTTGATTAAAAAACACTATATCGGATTCATATCGGTATCGGCAGATATCCAAATTTATGATATCGGTATCGGACATAAAAAAGTGGTATCGTGCCATCTCTAGTTGTTATTTTTACTTTGTTCTGAAGCTTAGGCAAATATGCGATGTTGCTGTTTTGTTTCAGTTCCTAGATTCTTCAACTGACTTTTAATAATAGTTAAGTCATTTTACTATCTTTGGAGGTAGCTCAGCATGAAATGAACTAATCTACATTATTAATTCAATGATAATTATCAAATTTGTTTGCTTAAAAGTAAAAAAAAAAGTCTTAACAAGTTTTGAAAGTAAATATTGGATTTGATCATTCACTTCCATACCAGCTCAATCCCATCTTCTTTGTTTCCCTCGGTGACAGCACCACCTAGTGACACTAACAAGGAGCTGCACTGTGACAGGGCACCCTGAGCCAGCAGCTCTTTGTTATCATCTGTGCTAATAAAAGGCACAAAACAGATTCAGTAATTAGCTACAATAGCAAATCAGCAAAAAAACAAAAAAGGTTTTGGACACTTTCCTAAACTTCTCACCTGCATATGAGGTAATGGAGACACCATGCACACTCTATGGCAGGAGCCAGGCCGAACTGTGGGTCGGGGGTAAGGACGGATAACAGGTGTGAAGGCAAGGTAGACTTCAGGACTATCCTACAGACACAGAGGAAGACAAAAAAACACAACAAGGTTAAATGTGAACAAAACATTACTCTGACATTTTCTGCGAGATGAGGAATGCAGAGGCTGAAGACGTGAAGAAGTGCATTATTGATATATTTACGGGATTATCTTCTCAGGTGCGTCTCTGGCCTGGAGAAGCTGAGAGAGGGTGAACGCTGCAGCTTCCACTACTGCAAGTGTGTGCCGTTGGTTCTGGACAAATACACAGTAACATGTTACAAAGACGTGCAGCAGTCACACTCCTGTCTCTCTATGAATTGGATGTTTGAGTAGATTTGGATTCAACTGCAACAATTCTACGAATTGCCAGTACAGTAAGGATATTAGTGTAGACAGTGAGCCTTCGTAGTTTACCTCTATACAGCTGGCCAGAGCGGGAATGATTCCCTGAGCCAGGAGCTTCTCTCTTACCACATCGCTGTCTGGACACATGTTACCAAGTGTGTAGAGACACAGCTCCTGTGTACATATAATGTTCCGCACAATAAGGAAGTCAAAAGTCTTCTGCATTGTAGGTCATACTATATCACAAACTGCCTGCACTGCATGGTGACTTACTGTAAACTTAGTGCTTGGGCCAGACAGGTAAGTGAGCAGGTAAGGGGTAGCAGGCAGACAGGCTGGAGCCACATTAGTGTGGGAAGAGTGAGAGAGCTCGTGAAGACACCGAACGGCCTGCAGGCGGCACTGAGCATTAGAGCCAGTGAGGAGGCCGACCAGCAGATGCATACTGTTCTCGTGCCTGAAAGAAAACACAGTTTCACACACAAAGATGAGGAAGTGACTTAAAAGTGACAGCGTAATTTAGTCTCTTCCAATATGGCAACAGAAGCCACTACCATACTTGATAAAGGTGAGCTGTGCAGCTGGGTCGCGCAGAACTTTACTCAAGGCCTTCAGGTGTGCCTCCTTCTCTGTCCCGCTGTGTTGAAGTTTGTGGAGCAGACTAACAATGTCCTGAGGAAATATGAGACTGGCAGGCTGAGTTCAGATCTTTCATTTTACTGAACCTACCAAAAAAAAAAAATCTAAGACAGGCATGTCAAAATCAGTTTACGTTGTGGGTCAAATACGGCCCAGTTTGGCTCGAGTAGTAAAAACACCCCATTCTGTCAGTGTTAATATATTTAGCTACACTTTAAATCCCTGAGAAACCTTACAATGAGACAAAGAAGAAACATTTCAACAATATGTCTCAATTTTTCAGCAAAATAAAATTACAGAAAGGTTCCAGTAGCTCTTTTTCCAGACTGTCCTGTACTTATAAAACAAAGTTTTTGTTAATTCACAGAAAATATTCTTTTTTTCCCACCAAAATTTCAAAAGATGTCAAAAAACATTAACTTTTCTGTCATTTAATTATTTATCTATTAGATAATTCCTTTAGTTTAGCGTGAATGGCTACGTAGGAGGTCTTTATCAGCAGTAAAAGATGTAAAACTTCTGAAAACATAGCCTATAAGTTGATTCCCTCCTTTACATCTTCCAGCCTTCAAGTGGGCCAGATTGGAGAATTCTGGCACCTGGGAAATTCTTGTGCTTGACACCCCTGATCCAACACAATATCTGATACTTACATGTCCTCCTGGGGCTGTGTCCATGCTAACGTCCGGCTGCTCCTCATCTTCATTTAGCAGTAGTCGCTTGCTCACCAGCTGCCTGTCTCTGCGTGCCTGTCTCAGTGCTAAAGCATTCAGGGAGAGGCATGTCACAACTCTTTAACCTTCAGGGATCATACGTGATCATACTTGTGTTTAGTGTACATATGCTGTGCAAAACATGCGTCCTTTTGAGATAAAGCCACCATGGGGAGGCCATGCCTGTGGGGAAATAAAGAAGCTGAAGTTAAGATGATGCTAACATATCCATTTAGGTTTTGACTCATTTTACGCCAGTGTATGTCACCAACACTGCTCTATTTTATATTAAGACCTGTACATGGGAACATCTCAATTTTTTAAAAAAACACTGAATTTCGAGTAGAAACGAAAACCTATATCTGCACAGGAACTGTTTTTGCTGTTTATGTGTTGTAAAACTGCCTGGAGATGAAGATGTAACAGCTAACTAACAGTTCCTCACGGGTGTCATAAAAAAGAGCTGTATCTTTGTAATACAGTTTTTAAAAAAAATTACATGTGCACATTACATAAACCTATTTCACACTTTATTATGCACATTTGTTCAACTGCTTGGTAAATACAAGTATCTAATCAGATAATCACATAGCAACAACTGAGTTGGTTTAGACATGTAGACAGGGTCAAGATGGCCTGCTGAAGTTTAAACTGAGCATCAAAATGGGGAAGAATAGTGATTTAAATGCCTCTGAATGTGGAATGGCTGTTTGTGCCAAATTGGCTGGCCTGTGTATTCCATAAACGGATGACGTGCTGGAATTTTCAACAGCCAATTTTCACAGAGAACGGTCTGAGAAAGAGGAAAAATGCCTTAGTGAAGCCAGATGTCAGAGGAGAGTGGCCGACTCGTTTGAGCTGATGGGAAGGCAACAATATCTCAAATAACCGCCCATGACAACAAAGGTATGCAAAAGAGCATCTATGAACGCCAACACGAAGTAGATGGCCTACAGCAATAGACAGCTGAGGCTACAATACCAATACCAGTACTAATAGAACAATACCAGCACTTTATTGAATCTGTGCCATGATGAATTAAGACAATTCTGAAAACACAAGGGGGTTCAACTTGGCTCTAGCAACGTGTACCTAATAGTTTATTAAGATATTAATAAAATAATGGTTACGTTGAAGCTACAGTTCCAGCTAGTTTCTATGGAAACTAAACATAGTCACAGAGCCAAAGGAAAAATGAGCTCATTACTGAATAAACAGGGTTTTAGTTAAAGACCAGGGTTAGCCTGGGAAACTGAGCCTCGGTATTTAGCAGACACACCTCTCTCGTTCTCTCGCCTCTTCAGCCTGAGCTCCTCCAAGCTGCCGCCTTGTTGTCCGGCTTTGTGACGAACTTTGTTCAACCTCCACATTTGGCGGCCAGTAACAACTGCAACTGTAAAACTTCACTGACAGTTACTCATCGTATGGTTAGTGTGTAGCTATGGTAGTGGGGCAGTCTTCTTCTTTCTTCTTTAACAGTGGTAAAACAAACGTCTTTTCGCTGCATTAGCGTCACCCTCCGGATTGGAGTGGAACAGTCGTTTTCTCGGTTTCCTTAAAAAAGACTTGACACCCTCACGTTACACGATTCAGCGGAAAGGCAGTTTTAGGCCTCGTCTCTCTTAATAATCTTAATTTGTCTCACCGAGATCCCTGACACGTACAAACATATAGAGTGTCCCCTACAGCACAGCACAATCTCCAGAGCTCATCAAGTCAAGCATTTTCCCTTAATTTGTAAGAAGTTCAGCGTTTGTGTGCCCAAAGAACAGGATTTACCAGATGTAAGACTTGGGACGGGTACAGTTGATAAAAACAAAAAAAACTATGGTGTTTAATTTGTATTAAAAGCATAATATACAATCTATATAAGAAAATTTATATCAAACATTTAAAACTTTAAAAAATAATGCTCATCACACACATAGAATTTCCCCTCCTTTCCCACGATAGAACAGCTGACATGTCAATTTGAATAAATATACATCTGGTTAAAAAAAAGTGTGTAATTTTTTTTAACGAAATACCAAAAGACAGCTATAGGACAGGAGTAAACCTCTTAATCAGAATCACACAGTTTCACTTCATTTTACAACTTAAATCTGCATAAAAATATGAAAGGTGGTTTAGAGAACCTAGCTCAGGATTATCACGAGGGAAATTCCTGAGAGCAAAACAGAATCCATGTTTATAAAAACAGACGTTACTCAATTAAACCCCATCTGAATTTCACTATGAGGCAGAAATATTTCAACAGGTGATCATCAGTTCCCCAAAACAACCACGAAATGCGCGTGCCGTGAAAATGGCAGCTACCGTAGAAACACTTAAGTAAAAAAACACAAACCCAAAACCCATAAAAAGATAAAAATGTAGCAAAAATATAAAAGACGGATCTTTAAAGTTTTAAGTCATATTCTAACTACTGATATATGATCAGTGTACATGATCGGAAATCGGAGGACGTGATGTGACCCTCGTCCTCTGGGTCTGCGGGATGACGAGTCACACATCTTGATGATTCTTTGATGATTTCTTCTTCTTCTGTGGAGAGACGGACATGAGGGTTAGGATCCGCCAACGTTGAGACTGGACACATTTGTTTTCTAAGTAGCGTCGAGATTTGTTTTCTAAGTAGCGTGATACCTTTTTGTGGGAGTCGCTTGAGGCGGTTTCTGTTGCCATGGCGTCTTGGATTGAATCTACAGGTATTTCTGGGATGTCGGCTGATTTCAATTTGCTTTTTTCTGAGGACAAATGCAAAGCAATTTTACAAAACCATCAAATTACATGTTTTTAAGCTATATGTGGGTTGTTTACTCACTTCTCTTCTTCTCCGTTTGAGAACTCGTTGCCTCTACGTCAGGTGGAGGCAGCGGCTCTGTGTTGGCGGGATTATTTTTCTTTTTCTTCTTGACACTCTTGACCTGCTCTGTTGTTTCCTCTACCTTATTATCTATTATATCCTCAACTACCTGCTCTCTTTCTTCATCAGCTTTTTCTTTTTTCTTCTTCTTCGATTTCTTTTCCTGCAGTACTTGTTCTGGATTTTCCTCACCATTAAGAAGGTCCCTTTTCCTCTTCTTTGCCTTCTTTTCTGTAGACGTCTGCTCTAAAGTCTCAATTTCTTCAGTTTTTTGCTCTGTATTATTTTCTATGTCTTCAGCTTTTTGCTTTGAAATGCTTTCACTTGCAAATGTCAATGAATTTTCCTCACTTTCTGTTTTCTTCTTTTTTTTCTTCTTGGCTTTCTTTTCTTCTGCTATGTGCTCTGAGGTTTGGTTGTTTTCTTCCTGTTTGCTCTCTTTGTTATTTTTCACTTCCTCAGATACCTGCTCAGAATTTCCAGTCTGTGCCAAACTTCCCTCACTACCAGCCTTCTCTTTCTTCTTCTTCTTTTGTTTCTTTTCTTGTACCGTTGACTCTGAAAGGGTTTTCTCATCAGCGTTCCCTCTTGTGTTTGTCTCAGTCGTGACTGTCTCATTTCTTTCAGCATCATCTTTGGTTTCTTTTGCTTTTTTATTCACCTTCGGAGTTTTTTTAGCCTCCTCCTGCTTCGTGTCTTTGGTCTTTCTCGTCTCTTCGCCACATTCCTCTTTTCCATCTTCACCCGTCTCATTCTTTTCCTCCTTGTCTGCAATTTTCTCCTTCTTTTTCTTCTTCTTCTTGGGCTCAGATGTTCTGTCATCAGTTGTTTGTTCACTGGGAGTTGCAGTTTCCCTGTCCTTTTTTATTTGTTTGTCCGCTGGAGATGAGAGGTTTTGCTTTTGGCTCGGAGTGCTTGAGGTGACAGAAGTCACATTTTTTGTCACATTCTTCTCGGTCGAGCTCATCTTTGCTTTTTTTTCAGTCACATGTTTCTCGCCACCTTCGTCATTGTGTTTCACTGTCCCGTTACTCGGTTTAACTGGGGTTCCAGGTTTCGCCGGAGCCTTAGCCCGGGGTTTCCTGACTCTCTTTTTCGGGGGTTGAGGAGCAGAGGAGTCCAGGGCATTGATGGCATTCATCTTGACTATGTCGGCATCTGTGGACAGAGAAAACCCAGTAAAAACATCAAACTGTGCATGGTGGAACAAATGCCTAAAAGAAAACATAAACAGCAAGCAAACAGTAACTGTACACAGCTCTGTTTGGATGAAATCACTCTTTTCCATGGTGAGGTTGTTCATGGGTGGTGCTGCACTGTCTGGTGGTTGTCTTTCTCTCATTAAGTGGAGGGACCAAGCTTTCCCTTCATCTTCCATCACTTTGTACATTTTCCACACCCTCCACAGTTTATTCCACCTGAGTTTAGACTCCTTCCACCATGAACACCTCGCCTGAATGCTACACCTCAGTCTCTCAATAGCGCGCTTTGACGTTAGCTCAAATGAGACATATTTTGCTTATTTCCAGCTTTACACTTTAATTCAGAACCTGCATTAGAGTATCTTTGCATGATTCTCATTTCAATAAAATCTTATTTGAAATATAAAATACAGTCTTTTCCTGAAACAGGTTATGTTAGCTCAGACCTCTTCTAACAAGCCTAATTTCATCTGATTGGATCTCTAACAGATCAAACTTGTTGGAAAAAAGATAAAACTCACCCACGTGTGCGCTGACAGCCTGCAACTGAAAATAATTTCATTACATTAAGGGAAAACTATCCTAAAGTTACTGTGCAAATAACCGCTCCTTCTGAGAGGGGCAGATGGGATTCTTTTTTTAGATATGGTTCATTTGATGTGAAATGTTTGAGGTATCTGAACTGGATGTGCCCTGGTTGCTCCTTAAGTGAGGTGTTTTGGGCAAGTCAAATATTTCTAGCCTGGCTTTGGTCACTTTATTGTCCACTCATAACCCCCTCTTCATTTTTCTAGGATTCTTTTCATCACCTCATCCTTGACACGCTCGCCCATGAATAATGCATTCAGTGACTCACCTGTCATCTGTTGGAGCAGTTTCTTCCACTTCTCCACATCCAGACTGCTGTCAGAGTCTGAATCATCTGCACCGGCAGTCACAACTTTGTCTGGTGTTCGGCTCTTTGATTTCTTCTCCCCTGTGACTTTTTTTGCAGCTTTTCCCTCAGTTTTTTTCTTGTTTGCTGGAACAGACTGGGAAAAAAAAGAAAAAGAAGGATTAGCGTGGTTGGTATAGTCCAAGAACTGCCACGAAAAGAAATTAAAACAAAATAAAAATTCACCTTTTTTGCAGTTGCGTCCTTTTTCTTTTTTGATGTTGTAGACTTTGCTAAACATAAAAAGTGCAAATGTGTTAAAATGCATTCAAATACGCCAACCTCTGGCCTCAAAGAGTTTACTGCTACAAACCGAGCTGCATTCTCTGATATGTCAGTTTTTTCACTAAGCTGTCGCCCTCATCTTGAATCTGATTGGAGGTTGTTAGGAGTGTGAATGTTTGGGTACAGGTGTAAGATGAAAATACTCAAAGCAAACTAATGTACAGAAGTTCCAAATCTTGCTTAAGAATTTTGTAAGCATGAACAGCTGGATCAGGACACACATATACACAAATAAACAAATGTAGTATCTCAGATCCAACTTCAGCTTTCTAATTTAATTTGTATTTAACAAAGAAAAAGAAAAATATGAACCTTTAGTTGGAGTCCTTCCTTGATCTGCTGAATTTTTTGGGTTACTGTCAGGAATAAAAAAAATAGTTAGTATCCAAGCTATTACAAAATGAGACATCTAACCCAGTGGGCGTTGCTTCTGAAAAGCACTAAGAAATCATCCTTACTTCAACCATGATGTGTAGATGTCGAGTAGTGATACTGATATTTTGGTCTCCCCCTGTAGAAAATCAAAATTAAATGTTACAACTTATTAAGAAGTTTGAAATATACAGTGGGAGTATTTCTTGGACATGGTACAGTAGTCTGAAGGAGATGTCAGCATATAAAGACATAAAAACATGCCATTGTTATGGTTATGTGTCAAATTTGAATGAAAGCAGACCCCAAGAAGGTGGTTAGGAAGGACTTGAGTTCATTACAAATGAATAAACTAGAATAATAAACACGTTTACAGAAAAGGACAAAGTCTACTACATTTTGTGGAATATTTACAAATTCAAAAACCTGTGGAGGGACCAAATGGTTCTCATTTGGGGAAGAAAAATCAACAAGCCTTCTTGGTCTGTATTACATTTGCAATGACTGCACTTATACAAATCTCTGGGCTTTTTTCTTAGACTTTACCACAAACAGCTTTTCCTGGCCGCACACTCTCCCCACTCATTTAAATTGGCCATATGCTACATCCTATTTGAGCCACTTTGGGTGGAAGCTCTTGGTGAGTAGAGTCTAACTGATGGTATTTTTTATGTCAAGGACTTGATTACCTTTAAAACTAATCTGACTTTTTCTGTCTTTCCTCCAGCCACAGTCCCTCTTACAGAGGTCTATACAAGGTGAAAGCCTTTCAAGTGTTACGTTCTTAGTCTAGGCAAGTATTGAACGCAACAAGAAGTTGGCCCACTCACACACCACTTTTTTTTAAGTGGTATATAAGTCCTAACATTGAGCTCGTTTTAGCTCACAGCAAGGGGAGGATACATTTCTTGGATCTTACGATCTTTAAAGTTATATATACACACACAACTATGTTTATGCAGAAAAATAGAAACACGTAGCAGTCTAGTTGTTACGAAAAATGGGGAGATTTAATTGAGCAAACGTTCTTCCCCGTCCACACTTCAGAAAATGTTTTTTTG